GCAGGGCATCGTCTCTTGGAATCCGGGGAATCTGTAAAACCCGTGTCACCTTCGATGGACATGGGTCTGACACTGTAGAGCAGTGGTTCTCAACCTTGGCTGCACATTAGAATCACCTGGGAATCTTTTTAAAATCCTGATTTCTGGGCCTCATCCTCCGAGTATAGATAACCATTATCATTAGACTTAAGGTATAACAGATAGGTTGTTACTGTCTTTTGTGATCCCACCCCCAAAAAAAAAAAAAAAAAGTCTTAGGCATGCCACTTTCACCTGTGCTAAACTTACTTTTTAGAATCAATTCCCAAGAGAAGGATATTCAGGCTGGAGGCCACGATTGTTTTTATAGTTCGTGGGGTAGCTGGACAGATGAGGCCCAGAAATCAGGATTTTAAAAAGATTCCCAGGTGATTCTAATGTGCAGCCAAGGTTGAGAACCACTGCTGTAGAGCCTGGATTCCTAACCCTGACCATGCCCTTTGCCTCTCCCTCTAGAAGCCTCAGTCATGCATTTTTATTAAATGCGCATTATATGTGGCCCTGGGTTGGTGATGGGCTGGGCTGGGCATGTCCCGGGGTTCTACGGAGATACCTAAAACCAGGCCCCTGCTGCCTGCACTTGGCAATCTCTGACAGGTAATGCAAGCACACAGGCAGGAAGTGGCCAGGCACCTCAGAGAGGGCAAGCCCAGGGCTCTCTGACTGTTCACAGGAGGGGACGTTTCTGGAAGATTCCTGGAGAAGTGAGCCTGGAGGGATGGAGGGGGTTGGTGACAGACTTGGGGAGGAAGGGTATCTTGGTGAAGTGAATAGTATGGGCAAAGTCAGGAGGTGGGAACATGGAGGTACCAACTGGAGAATGGAGGGGCCCCTTACCCAAAGGAGGGTGAGATATTTCTGGGCTTTTCTCACATCCTGGCCAAATGCTGTCACTTCCATCGTCTATTTAATATATTAGATATTATTCTACATTAAATATTTATATCAGTTTGCCATCCTGTAACCATGCAGGGATTATACTCAGTCTGCATTGAGTTTGGGGGTGTGCTAGGCTACCCTCTCTGCCCCCCTAAAAAGATTAGTTTTCCTCCTGATGACTCCCCAGCTTTCCTTTCTGTGCCCTTCCCTTCCTGTGTCCCTCTGTCCCCATTCCTGTCTGGCCTGGTCTCCCCCCTCTGTGTCCACCACCCTAACACTCCATGCCTGTCCCTTTGCTTCCTTCTTCCTCTGGGGATTTGGGGCCAGGATTCTCCTCTGTCCAAATTCCCTGCCCCTGGAGCAGGCCTCCCAGGCGCCAGCATTTCCCCGAGGGACCTTCTGCTCCCTGTCAAATACTAGGAGACACCCTCACGGTGACACTTTCTGGCAGGTGAGCCAGAGGCAGGCAGGCTGTGAGGGAGTCTGGGAAGCAGCAACCTGTCCATCCATGCCCCTGGCCCCCATAGGCCCTGGAGAAGAGCCCCAGTCTTCTCTCCAGCCGGCTGGGCTCCTCACCCGTCCGCATTCAGGGCCTGGCTGCCTGTTCCTGGTTGAGCAGACTTTCTGCAAAGTTCACCTCCCACTGGCCTCCAGCGTTCCCCGCCCCTCACATGCCCAGGGCTTTCCGCCAAGCCCCACAAGGCATAGGCGTGAGAGGAGGGTTGACTCTCCTACCTCTCAAGTCTCCTGAAAATGGCCCCCTTCTCTGTGGGGAGACCAGCCCCAGAGCAGCCAGCCCTCAGGGACCTAAGATAAGTGGCCGAGGCACCTCTCTGTCCCAGGGAGTAGCCTGGAGCCCAAGGCCTTCCGCCTCTGACAGGGGGCCCGGCTGAGGGCTAGGAAGGCCCGGAAGCAGAAGAGCACGTTCTAGCTGCCTTCAGTCCTGGATTCTCAGCTCTGTCTTCAGGAACTTTGGATTTAGTTCTCCCTCCACCCATGCCAAGATGAGAGCTCTTGGGAACCCATTCTTGTGGCAGGAGGCCTCCCTTTGATGACCATGTCAGATGAGATGGAAACTGGCCAGGTTGTTATAGGAACTCGGAAGAATCCCTGGAGTGGGAAAATAATGAGAACACGGGGCCATTCACCATTCACGGCGGAAAGTGGAGCACTCATTGTCTGAGGGCAGAAGCTGCGGCCCAGAGAGGAAGCAGGCTTGGGGTGGGGGGGCTTGCTGCAGCACTAGGAGGCTTTGAGGGTGGTGGGGGGACAGAGAAAGGGTCTGACCAGACTGCTCACTTTCTATCTGTATGACTTTAAGCAAGTTAAAACAACAACCAACACGAAAAAGAAATGTATGAGACTGGAAGGAATATCACCCTACTTTTTCGACAGTTATCTCAGTGGTATGTTTACAGGTGATTTAAAATTATTTTTGTGCTTTTCTCTCTATGTGTGTGTGTGTGTGTGTGTGTGTGTGTGTGTGTGTGTGTGTTTTTCCTCCTGGCATTTTCTCTAAACAGCAGGAATTAATTGAAAAAGGAACCCTGAAAACACAACGCTATCTCCAGTTTGGAAGCACAGATTCTGTTCTGGGTGGGCTCTCTGGAGTTTTGGAATTGATGTGCATATATTTGAAAGGCCAGGGACAGTACTTTCCAGCAGTCAGGCTGCCCCCCAGCAAGTTTTCCTGGCCCCTGATGCCCTGGGTTAGACCAGCACGGGCCTCGGGTACCTCACACATAGGCCTGATGGGTCGGGGTGTCCCGAGGGGCAGTTATTCCCATTGTTACAGTACAGGAGGTGGCTGTTTGTTTTTCATCCTGTGAGGCCACCCTTGTCAGCTGGCTCAGCAAACGCGCTGTCTACTCCACCTGGTGCCCTTCCTGGTGCTGCCTCCTCCTTTAGACCAACGAATGGGCTTATGTTGCAGTCTCGGCACTCCTGTTTCTGGCCAGCCTTGTCCCTCCTCTGTCAGAAGGGGAATGGTGCACTGCCAGTGTGGCTCAGTGGTGAGCGTTGACCTATGAACCAGGAAGTCACGGTTCCATTCCTAGTCAGGGCACATGCCTGGGTTGTGGGCTTCATTCCCAGTAGGGGGTATGCAGGAGGCAGCAGATCAATGATTCTCTCTCATCATTGATGCCTCTCTCTCCCCCTCTCTCTTCCTCTCTGAAAACAATAAGATGTATTTTTTTTAAAAAAGGAGGGGAATGGTGGCTTCACTTGATTTTTTTGCCCAAGCTGGGCATCCCTGGTGGCTGGGTCCCTCACCTGACTTTGACATAGGCTACCTTCTATCACTGTTGTCTATTACTAATTTTTTGAGGTGCAACATACATACAGTAAAATGCACATATCCTAAGTTTATTGCTTAATGGATTTCGACATATATTTAAACCCATGTAACCACCACTTAGATCAGACATTTCCATTTCCATTACCCTGGAGGGTTCCCTCATGTCCTTTCCAAGTCAGTACCCCTAAAGGTAACACTGTAATGACCTCCACCACCATAGGTGAGTTTTGACTGTTTTTTTAAAACTTTATGCACTATACTCATTGGCATCACACTTATTTTGCTTCTCATGCATATTAGCTGTCTATTGCTATGTAAGACATCACCCCAAAATATAGTGGCTTAAAACAACAACAGTCGGTTATTTTGCTCACCGATCCTCAGTTTGGGCAGGGCTCAGAGGGGATGGTTTGTCTCTGCTCCATGCAGCATCAGCGGGGGCAGCGTGACAGGGGGACGGAAGGTCCTTTCCAAGGTGGCTCACTTGGATGGTGAGCAAGCTGGTGCTGACCATCAGCTGGTGGTTCAGCTGGAGCTGTGGGCCAGGCCCTCAGTTGCTCTGCATGTGGTTGTCTATATGGGGTGCTTGGGCTTCCTTACAATATGGCAGCTGAGTTCCAAGGGAGCAACCATCCCAAGAAAACAAGGTGGAGGTGCAAGGCATTTTTATGACCTAACCTCAAACTCTATTTGTTGAGTCAGCCATGAAAATCTTCCCTGGATCAAGGTTCGGGGGCACAGAGGATGTGAGAAGGTTCTAGAAGAGCATGGGGAATGGGAGAAATGGGGGTGGCCATTTTTGGAAAACCCATTTGGCTACGTTATGTTTGTCAGATTCATCGACGTTGTAACATATATTTGTAATTTGCTTTTTTTGTTGTATAATATTTCATTGTGTACATAGACTACAATTTAGTTTATTCAGTCTATTATTGACATTTGAATTGTTTATAGTTTTGGGCTATTTAAATAGTGCTCCTATGATTATACTCATACAGATGTTTTGGTGGACAGAGGTGACCATCTATCACAGTTGCTGTCTCTTTAGCTTTTAAGATTTTAAAAATCATACAATTCTTATCCTCTTTTATTTTCTCTCTTTCCCCATCAGTTACTGTAGCCATATGCACTTTAGTATGTAAATCTCTGCTAGTGTTTTTAAAATCTTGAAAAGAAATTATAGCAGTAATACATAAATATGTTTTCTTTATAAAAACTTTCAGTATTGCAATTAAGATTAAAGTTCCTTATGACACTTCTTGCCAAGTTGGGCCCTTTCCTTCTACCCCAAGATAACCCTTGTCACCAGTTTGGGGTGGTCTCATCTAGAGCTTTTTTTGATGCATTTACACACATAAATATTCCCATAGAAAATACTGTTTTGTGTGTGTGTGTGTGTGTGTGTGTGTGTGTGTGTGTGTGTGTGTGTGTGTTGTTTGGTACAATGCATGGTATCATATGGCTCTGCAATTCGCTTTCTCACTCAAAAAAATATCTTGGAGTTATGGCCATAGAATCGCATATAGATCTACTTCGCTTTTTAAACTGCCGAATAATGTTTCATAGTATTATGATAGCACTGCCATTTGGCCATTTCCCTATGAAAGGACGTTTAGGTTGTATCCTTCCTTATTGTGCAGCGTGTGCCCGATGAACTGGAGGGCAGGCCTGGCACACTGTGATATTGTCAGTACTTGATCAACACAGATGCATTTCGTAATGGGAAAGAGTTGCTGGAGCTCTGGGTCTGTACCCCTCAATGTCCCCTCTCTCTTCCCTGCAGAGACGTCTCCGAGAGGCCGTGCAGCTGCTGGAGGACTATAAGCATGGGACCCTGCGCCCCGGGGTCACCAATGAACAGGTAACGCTGCGGGAGGTGGGGAAGGAAGGAAGTCACAAATTCCCAACCTTTTCCCTGCAGCCAGACCACTCCTTTTTCCTTCAGTATCTACTTCCACTGCGACTACATACCCCTGTGGGTCTCTGGCTTTTTGGAGGACGTACTCAGGTCTCGCCAGCACCCTGAGTCTGGTGGGAAGCATGGTGGCTGGTGAGGCTAGAGAGGCCCAAAGGCAGTGGTTTGCTGGAGCTAACGTGTGTACCTCTTCCCAATTCCACATTCAGTGACATCATGGTGATAGCTTGAAATCAGCCACGATGGGAATACTTACACCACAGAAATTGGCAAATGCTACAAATTAGGACTTTCCCCCCCAAAGAATTGATTAGTAATTACTTACCAGCATACTACTCCCCAAAAGTTCAAGTTGAGGGTGGGAAAGGGGTGCAGATGGTAGGGATTAGGCTAAGACACTGTAATTTTTTTAAAATTTAATTTATCTTTATTGTTGAAAGTATTACAGATGTTCCTCCTTTTCTACCACTGATCCCCTAATTTTTTTAATAGTATGTAGGAACTTGAACTAGAGCTAATTGAAATATTGATGGTTGTGTTTGGTTTGGGGGGGGGGGAGTAGAAGGATGTAGTATAAGGCAACTTTAATGAAACAGAGACTGATGGTTAATGTACCAAAGTGGGTTTTTAAATTCATAAACTTTATTTCAGAAACTTAAAAAATTTATTTCACATTTTTAAAAGTAATGGGTGTGTGTAGTTCACAAAAGTCAAATAGTACTAAAACATTTGTAAGGAAAAACAGTATGCTGCCCATCATCCCTCTTCAGTTCCCATCCCTATTCCCCAGAAGCAAATACTTTTAGCTGTCTCTTCAGATAGAAATCTATATTTCAAACTAACATGTTTATCTATACTGCTGTTTCTCAACTAATTCTTTTGTGTTATCTATTATGGTAGTTGAGAATCCAGCTCTTATATCCACCCCCATAAACATGCTTCTCTCCCCAACTCTCCTCACCGTCCCAAGATAGTTATCATGGTTTGGGGGTCTATGGATATGCAGTATTCACATCATAACTTTATAAATAACATTTACTGTAGAGTCAAGTTGGTTGTATCATCACTATGTTTTCCATTTTTTAAACTTTATGTTTTATTTGCAGTTAATGGTTGCCTCTTTTTTCCTTATTAGCATAGTTTTCTTTGTCTCATCTCTCATTCTCACTACACCCTTTAGGGGTATGTTCAGTGCCTCCTTTCAATCCTGAAGACTCCAGCTCTTCAGTTCTATTTTTTCCTTGAACATGTCCTTCCTGGGCCCCCCTCCCTCCAGCTCCGGGCCTTCTTTTGGTGTTTGTACACTTCCATTTTGGTGGAATACCTCTTCCAGTAGCTTTCTGAAAATAAATAAATAAATAAATGGGAAGAAAATTTTGAGTACTTTTATTTCTGAAAAATTGTGACTCTGCACTCAGCCTTAATTGACAGTTTGGCTGAGGAGAAAATTCTAGTATGACAATCATTCTCCTTCAGAATTTTGAAGACATTAGTTGTCTTCCAGCTTCCAGGATAGCGGTTGAAAACTTCCATGCTGTTTTATTCCTGATTCTTTGCAAGTGACCTCTTTTCACTCCTTGGAATGTTTAGGGTCTTCTCTTTATCTATACAATTTATTTCTGAAATTCCACAGTGCCTCTTTTTTTTAAAAAAAATTAAATCTTTATTGTTCAGATTATTACAGTTGTTCCTCTTTTTTCCCCCCATAGCTCCCCTCCCCCCAGTTCCCACCCCACCCTCCGCCCTCACCCCCCCACCACTGTCCTCATCCATAGGGGCACGATTTTTGTCCAGTCTCTTCCCACATCCCCCATACCCCTTTCCCCCCCAAGAATAGTCAGTCCACTCCCTTTCTATGCCCCTGATTCTATTATAATCACCAGTTTATTCTGTTCATCAGGTTATTTATTCACTTGATTTTTAGATTCACTTGTTGATAGATGTGTATATGTTGTTCATAATTTGTATCTTTACCTTTTTCTTCTTCTTCCTCTTCTTAAAGGATACATTTCAGCATTTCATATAATACTGGTTTGGTGGTGATGAACTCCTTTAGCTTTTTCTTATCTGTGAAGCTCTATATCTGACCTTCAATTCTGAATGATAGCTTTGCTGGATAAAGTAATCTTGGTTGTAGGTTCTTGCTATTCATCACTTTGAATATTTCTTGCCACTCCCTTCTGGCCTGCAAAGTTTCTGTTGAGAAATCAGCTGACAGTCGTATGGGTATTCCCTTGTAGGTAATTGAGTCTCTTTCTCTTGCTGCTTTTAAGATTCTCTCTTCGTCTTTTGTTCTTGGCATTTTAATTATGATGTGTCTTGGTGTGGTCCTCTTTGGATTCCTTTTGTTTGGGGTTCTCTGTGCTTCCTGGACTTGTAAGTCTATTTCTTTCATCAGGTAGGGGAAGTTTTCTGTCATTATTTCTTCAAATAGGTTTTCAATATCTTGCTCTCTCTCTTCTTCTGGCACCCCTATAATTTGGATGTTGGTACACTTGAAGCTGTCCCAGAGGCTCCTTACACTATCTTCGTATTTTTGGATTCTTTTTTCATTTTGCTTTTCCGGTTGGGTATTTTTTGCTTCTTCGTATTTCAAATCTTTGACTTGATTCTTGCTATCCTCTGCTGTTGGAACTCTGCATAATATCCTTTATTTCAGTCAGTGTATGCTTAATTTCTAGTTGGTCCTTTTTCATAACCACGAGGATCTCACTAGATTTCTGAGGGTCTCACTAAATTTATCAGCGGTCTCACCAGACTTTTTGAGTATCTTACTAAATTTATCGGCGGTTTCTAGAAAGTTCTTGAAAAACCTTAAAAGTGTGGTTTTGAACTCTATATCCAGTAGTTTGCTTTCCTCCATTTCTGTCATTTGTGTCCTGTTCCTTTGTCTCCTCATTTTTTATGCTTCCCTGTGTTGGTAGAGTGGCTTTGTGTGCTAGGTGTCCTATAGGCCCCAGTGGCTCAGCCTCTCCAATTACCTGAGGTGGACACTCTTGGTGCACCCCCTTGTGGGCTTTGTGCACAGTCTTGTTGTAGTTAAGCCTTGATTGTTGTAGGCATCACTGGGAGGAATTGAC